CAGGAGAAGCAGAAGAGACTATTTGACGAACACCGAACTGACAACGTTAGAACGAGACCAGTTGGTGCTGTTGAGGGCCCCGCCAGTGGGGCTTAAAAAACGGACAATGTGCACTGGGCCTCATCGAGTTGTGGCCAAGCTATCGCCGGTGAATTATGAAATAGAGTTCGGTGATGGTTCAGGGCGGGACATGGGCACGTAGAAAAACTGAAACCGTATCTAGAGCCTGTTGCAGAATTTTCACTCTCCTAAAACTGTTCAATAGAATACTGTTTTATACTTGTACAGGAGTTGCAATTACCACGTGGGACGATTGTGTCGTGTCTGTACTTGAATGTTGTATTATATATGTACAGGACTTCCAATTACCGCTTCGGACGATTGTGTTTTGCGTGGACTTGAATACTGTTTTATACGTGTACAGCACTTGCAACTATCGCGTGTTTTGTGTGTGCTTTAAAGTCTCTTCATAACACCAGTTTCCTTGCGTGTTGTGTGCGTCGGGTCGACGACTTTTTGAGGCGGCGGCATGTGACGGTGTCGCGTGAACGCTGGAATAAAAAGGAAAGGAAGAGAAAGATCGAGCTGGAAAAGAAAAAAGAATGTCACCACGCCTCAACGGAGCCGAACATTAAAAGATATATTTCGACGACCAATCGAGCTTCGTCGCAACATGTTAATCAGGAGCAAATGGTCGAAACACTGCGAGAAATTTGTCGACAACGCTCTGCCATGGATTGTCCGCTCCCGGTCGTGGAAAAGTGGGACTGAGAGCGGCCGTCTTCGACACGATGACTTAGGCACTCAGTTCCGTCCCGGTATCGAGGAGCATGTTCCTTTTAAAGTCTACAGTGAGCACGAATCTCCGCACAAAGTCGGCTCCTATGATTGCTTACCGTAGATCCGCTATTATAAAAAATTGAGCAAAATGTCCGGCGAAGTCCATGTCCAGCATCAGCGGCTATTCCCCGTATGCCTTTATTACAGATCCGTTCACTTCATAAGGTGAGGAAGGCTCCTGCAGATGTCGACTATCGTAGGAGAACAAAGCAACTTCAGCACTGGTGTCCAACAGAAAGCGGACTTTTCTTCGCGCTCGGTGACCTAAAAGAAACAGTCTATTGTTGCTTTATGAACGCTGGCTGCCTTGATCAATTGCACTTGCCGTTTCCACAAACAACTAAATGGTAAGCGACATATTTTGGCTTGGGGTTCGTGCCGATGATGGTGCCAACATGCTTGTAGCTTGGTAGACATCTTTCTGAGGTTTATGCCGGGTCGGGTTGTGTTCACTCGTACGGTTGGGGACCGAAAGCTTAAACTTGTAGGTCACAGAGTTCGTAACTTAATTCGTCCACCCTTGTCTCCATACGGGGATTGGAATCGATCAGCCGAGAGAACCGGTAAGACCAGGAGGATGTCAGCGTGTGGGGTTGGAGCTCCCTGGCGTAAAGTAGAGATGGCAAGATGGCCTACATTCATGATTTGATCTGCCTTGCTTGCTATAGCAAGCATGGTAGATCAAGTGAATTGCCCGCTGAATTTCCACCCTATGGGGTGGAGATCGAGCGGGCAGTTAACGCACTCAAAATTATCCGCACTTAGCGCTGAAGATGTTGGAAAAACGCTCTCTGAGACTGGATATGTGTATCCATAGTGCCTTGTCCCCGAGGAGCTGTTCCATCAGTCGTGAAAAATTTGGTAGGGTCGCCGAGCTCCTCGGCGGTCACCTGCTGCTGGAGACGCCGTTGATCCGACTCAGTGGTGCGGTGATAATCATCTCTGTTCTCAGTGTTTCGTAGGGCTGATCGCCGCGTTGAGTGTGAAAAATGGCGCGAATGCACGAATGCTTCTGAATGCGGGAGGGCCGAGGTGATGTAGCCGTACTTCATCAGGGAGGACGCGATTCGGTTCTTTCAGAAGATTGACTCCGCGGTCAGAAACCAGAGCTCGGAATCTAACGGCCAAATCGGGAAAATCGATCGATATCCCTGGTCGTCGCCACTGTTGTCGGTGGAGTTCTAAAATATGCATTGTCGTCTTCATTCATGTCGTGGGCGCAAGCTTAGCTAGCAGAGCACCTGGGTTCCACAGCAGCGAAGGGGGTGAAGTCGGGTGCATAACAATTTATTAACAACATAATCGCTTCGTTTCCAAGCATTTGGCGCCAAAGCGGCTCTGGTGCTCGTATATCTTGGGACATTCTTCTTCTTTGTATGATCACTGAAGGGTCCTTGTCAAACTGTGCCTTCAGCTTACTGAAGCCAGGACAAAGTGGAGCAAATACCCGACTCAAGATCCCGAGTCTTTTAATCATGACTCCTTCCAGTTTTTTTGCGTAAGCGCTGCATGGTACACATACATGTTACTATCCGTTGTTAGCAGTTGGACTTTACTGGCCCATTTTCCCTTCACAGTCGTGATGTGATTCATCACTTAGAGGGTGTTGACTTCTAGATGTTTTAACATTCGTACAGACAACGAATCGGACGGCTTCATTCTTTGCTCTGTCGTTTGATTCTGTTGAGCCCTGTGAATACATTCCTGACTAGAATCTAAGGGATCAGTCGTGACGACGAACCGGCCGCAGCTGATCGCGGCACGGGTTACTTCGGGTAACCTACACGGCATGATCTCCCCAACCCGATAGGCCTGTACCGGCATCAGCGTGGTGTAAGTGGCGGGCACAACTCCTGTAAACAAGCTTTTACAAATTCTCTCTCTCGGCGACATGCCCATAGAAGTGATCCCCCCCCCCCCCTCCCCATGCCAAGCGCTTACCTTCAGAACTCTGAAGTGATGAAAGCAGTACCCATGTGGCACACGAACGCAAAATTAACAGTGTACTTCCAACCATAGGTGTCTTCGCGGATCTTCGACTTTATCGCCGCCGAGGAAAGCCTTGTGGCGCGGGAACGCCATCAGATTGCGTCGCTCTAACGTTTTGTTCAACACAGAACGTCCATCAAAGGTCAACCTCGGATTCACTCGGCACGAGGCTGTCGAGTACATTGAGGCTCCACCAAGTTGCTTCAATAGTCAAGCCCTATGCGGGATTCAGAAATTTTGTAGGGGTGCCACAAAATGCAAGAAATGTGGTGAACCATATTCTACCAAAGACTGAAACGGCGGGTACCACCAAAATGCTCGAACTGCGACTGTCAGCACCCAGCAGACTACGCAAATTGCACAGTACATCTGGCTATACTCATCTAAACGAAAACCTCCGTACATACCGGCCGCGACTGACCACATTAAGAATGAACGACTTTGCACCTTTGCCATCGTTTTCGCCACTAGAGGTTCCTTGGAAATTAACAACCAATTTACCACGCAATATTGCGTGGTAATTTCGTGTTTGCTGGAAGTAACCGTCGACGACGGGATGAAACCCCCGTAATGGCAGATAGTTGTCTGCAAATATTTCCAAAATGGACATCCCAAGTCAAGTGTGTAAAAAAGGTAAAACCAAGAATTTTATGTTCATTTCAAATTTGTATTTCTTGTTTGTCATATTTAAGAGCAGTTTCAGATTTAAGTATCTTGTTTATCGCCCGGAAAATCATAAATTTAGTTCTGCTTTTCCTGGTGATGCAACTGTTTTTGTACTTTTCGCAAATTCCGCTATAGAACAAATCCCTGATGTTAATTATTTATGAAACACGCGTTTGTTTTTCACCGCACGCAATAAAAGTCGCAGAAAATTTTAAGGAAAAACAAGCAGCGTTCACGCCCTCAACTCGCAGCCAGGAAAAGCGGCCACATGATCTGGAGCGATTATATGCCTCCAGTGTTGATCATTGTTACGGCCTGGGGTCGGCAAAGCAAAACACACGCGCTGAGTTCCAGACATTTTTATGGTTCGGCTATTGCACGTCATTGCAGCGATTTGACACGGGCCACTGCCCGTGTGCTTGTCCAGCTATGGATTATCACGAGCCCAAAATCGAGTGCTCACACAATGCTCGGGTCCAATCTATGAGCCGCATTCAAATATCGTCACTGAAGGTACTGCCACCGCCCAGTTACGTAATCAAATTTTGCGATGGAGAGACTGAAAAATAACGCTCGCTTTTGTCCTTGAAAGTACACCGCAACAATGGAGTTTCTTGGTCAGTGGCGTTGCGTGCGGGCATACTTGGGTTCCAGTCAGCTCGTGTAAAGTGAAAAACATTGGTAAGTGGAAAGCGCGACCAGTGTACGCTTTCCACTTTCCCCCGCTTCCTCATCTCCCCCCTTCTACCCTGTCCACCGTTGCTTTTTCCTCCTCGCCCATGGTGAGGAGTATCTTCTGCCTTGCAGAATCTCGGGTTTGGTCGTCAGCCGCAGCCGACGCTACGAGCTAATGGGACCAATGAAGCGGAGTCAAAAGTGCAATTCCCTAGGCCGTCTCTGTTTATGATTGGTTTAGCGATGATAGAACACGTACAGAAACATGACGAACACCCTGATTTGACGCTGTTTGATTGGTCCCGTCATCTCGTAGCATCTGCTGCGTCTGGTATCAAGGTGAAACGATGCGATGCTCTATTTCATTTTCACCTTGTGATGTACCGCAGGAAAGGCAACAAGCTCCAGCTCCTTGCTCACATCTCGGCAGCGCAAGCTCTCGTGCTTTAAGGGCAGCTGCCAAGGCTATTAGCTCGCGCTTCTAGCCTTTTCTGCGCTACAACACAAAGTGAGACGGAATATAGTTTCCGAACATAATGGCGGGCGAGACGGAGGAGGAAAAAGAGGGAGGGTGAACCCTCAGAGGAGAGGCTACAGGCCTTCAGAGGGGAGGCTACACGCCGATGGGCACAACAAGCATCTTTCTCGGGGTGCCTTCTTGGCGACTAATCCAATTAGGTCCAGAGGGTGCACTGTACGCGCTTTCAGTTTGTATGTTAGCCTTTGACTGCGCTCTGACTTCCGATTAAACCGAGCGTAGAAATGACGCCTACCATCCCGGAACGATCCCGATGGCGGGGAGAGCTTCTTATTCTGGGACCTGAACGCAGTCCACCGGCTGAAGACGATCTGTCTGGACCTGCTGCTGTCGGGCACGGCGCCCACGACGGCGCTGCTGTGCTGGGCGCTGAAGCTGGTGGCCCGCCACCCGGAGGCCCAGGTCCGCGCCCAGGGCGAGATGGACGCCGTGCTCGCGTCTCCGGACCAGCTGGGCTCGCTCTTCAGCAGGGACAACCTGCCCTTCACAGAGGCGATGGTGCTCGAGGTGCACCGCCTCGCCAGCGTCTGCATGCTGGCGCCACTCAGGACAAACTCCGGTGAGGGCACACGCCTGGGTCGGAACTCGGGTAGCACTCCTTTTCAACTAGAGGACAACTGCGCGTGCGCACTTGTCCTCTAGTAACAGGGACAACACAACCACATATCAAAGATGTGGTTGTGTTGTCCCTGTTTCAGTTGTTTTATTCTTTCTTCATCCATGATATTTCTTACACGCCCTTGTCACATTTGATACACACCAAAGTTACAGCGCATTGACGTTGAACCGACGGTACTAGCATTCACGAGCGGCTTGATAGCTGAGTGGTACAACTTATTCAAATAGCTAATGCACGTGTTACAGAATTAATAAAAAGTAATCGGAGTTTTCTTGGTTCTAGATAAACATATGGATATTAACGGCTGCAGCCTTCTTAACGGCCGGTTGCTTGCGCCACTTCGCCCGAAACTAAACAAAAGCGTGCTTCCTACCCTCCTTGGCAAATGCACTTCTAAAGTGCGCCCATGGTTGCCAAACAAAGCAGTGTGGTTTTTTTTCTGTGGTCTTTGATACGTACTTTAGCTGTTTTATATGTTATATCCCACCGGCATGAAGCCTCTCGTAAAAGTTGGGGCCGTCAATTCGACGTCAGTGCGCTGTACGTCGTACTGAAGTTTTGTAATGTCGTATATGTTACAAGGTGTGTAAAGGCTACACCTTTTTTTTTTTTTAACTGCTCTCCTGCATTGGGCCGCGGCGGTGGCGCTTTGAGTGCGAATCCGGTCGGTGGTGTGGGCAAGAAACGCCATGCCGGCTGGGTTTTCGTATTTAGTAGAAACCAACCTTTTCTCTCAATCTTCCACAACGTTGGGTGGACTGGGGCTGTATCGAAAAAGCTGGGAAAGTTGTTAAGATCCCTTTGAACGTGTTCTCTGCCTGCCCAATCCGTCCGAAAGCGTGAATAGACGCCGTGAAAAGGGAAAGCTCGACGCTGCCGGACCACGGTCACCTGTGCGGGAAGCACGTTGGGGTATATTCTCCCTATCGTTTTGTCAAAACACGCTTTATGGAAGCACGTTTCGTGGACCACTTTTCATGGACACACGTTTTACAGAAAGACGTTTAGTCAACTGTACGATGTTTCGTGGAATACCTTTTTTTTTTTTTTTTTTTTTTTTTTTTTTTATTATTTGTTCCTGCTATTTTTGATTTAGAGTCACTGAATGTTCCCAGAGTACCGAATTCCATTCAGTCCGCTTACCGAAAGTCAATCCCGCACAATCCAGTTCTGATTTGCTGGTTTAGCCCGCGGCGGAAGTTATCAGTCGGTCATTTTGTGGATCGGCCCAAAACGACAAAAAAACGCATATAAAACGTTCCCGCCTTACCACGGCTATGGTGGGTACGTCCGGGTGGGAGCTCTGGGCATCGATGAGTTAGGACCGAACGAAAAGTGCGTTGATTTTTTCTATATATATATTTTAAATATATCAAGCAGCCGCTAATCTGGCTCGCCAAAGAAGATTGCCGGCTCGTTTGCTCGCTTCGGTTGCGCTGGTGCTGCGTCTGAAACTCTACGCCTCAGACGCTAAGCGTAACGCTCGACTTCGATGTGTTCTGAGGCGAGAGAAAGAGACGAGACAGCAAAGAGAAAGTCACGCACCGCTCGAAACGGAGGAAAAAACTCTATTGAAAACAAATTCGTCGTGTTTGTCCTTCTTGTTTTCCCCAGTCTCAGGGTTGTCTTAAATCATGAACGTAAACCAGCTCGCCTGCGCCCTATCACTGATTTCACAAACCAGTGTCGCCATAGGCCAGGGCAGGAAGGTGGATTGGTGAGCTCACTCGAGAACGAACGCTACACTCAACGTTACTAGAACCACTCAGTAGGGAAAGTGCCATAGAGCCTGCTCTGAAAAAGTAACCGATCTGTACTCCAGAACCGAGCTAATGGCGATCGCAACGCCGCCATTTCTCCCGCAGCGGCCACTCGAAGAACTGCACTGAGTACCACATTCGATAGCGCCCACTATGACTCCTATTTCGGCTTTAATCGGTCATTTACATATATGGTGGAAGGGGTTTCGGGGATACCACCCCCGTCTCCCAAGCGGACGCGCCGCTAATTAGTTCCGAAGTTAAAGGGGGCGTCTACCTGAAATCACCGCTGAGACATGGTTGCATGGAAACAATATTCAGGACCGGCCCTACACCATCAAGCTCCCTGGGCGAACTCCGCCCGTGGCGCCCTCCCCTGTCCCCCTCACACTTTTTTTATACGCCTCTATTTACTAGGTACGACATCTCATTGTTAGTAAACATATGAGTAGCGGCCCAAGACAAGCGTTTATAAATACCCAACCTCCCTCCAAAAAAATTAAAAGACTGGCGCGCCGGCACCCCGCTTTTGATGGCGCCCTCGGGGACCGCCCAGCTGCCGCCGAGGCCGCCCACCCTTAGGGCCGGCCCTGACAATATTCTTTGTGCCAAGAAACCTTGCAATCTAAGGATTTTAGAAAATATCACGCGCCTGTCCTTTTGTGCTAAACTCCAATAAAAGTTACTACAAAAAGTTTTTTTTCGTTGGTTTGTACGCAAAAACATGCTTTCTGAAAGCTCAAGGTGGCCACAGTAAAGGCAAAAGATAAAGAGTAACGCTGTTATATTTAGCTCGGTCTCGGTGGACGCCAGCGGCCCAGGTTTCAACGGTGAGTTTTCCAACTGAGTGTTCTATACTCCGCGACAACTTTTCTTGGCAATGGAGTGGAAGGTACAGGCCCGCGTCCCCTCTCCCATTTTGAGTGTACGCAGGCTCTCCTCCTCCCCCATATCCGGGGAGAGGAGGAGAGCCCGCGCACACTCAAAATGGGAGAGGGGACGCGGCCTGTACCTTCCACTCCATTGCCAAAAGTTGTCGCGGAGTATAGTAACGTTGGCCATACCGTACGCGCTTCGCTTCGACCGCACTGGGCGGCGCCATGTTGGGGATCGTGACCGCTGCGCCGGGACTCGGTTTTGAAGCGAAGCTTGGGAGTTTCGGTACTATGGAAAGTCAGTTACTCTAGTTTGGTGGGCAACATATATTTGTTTTGTAACTAAGTGGATTGGATTGGATTACTGGCTTGATTTAGTTCGCTGGGTGCATACCAGAACGAAATGGAACTTACCCAGGCGGTTCAGGTAGATCAAAAACAAATTCGCCAGCCCTAATCCTCACCTTCGGAACAGTCCTAGCTACGCTCAGAATTTGAGGCCCGACCTTGCACCGGGCCTCACTGGCATCGCCAAGGGTTCAGCAAGCTAGGCTACCATCCGGATACCGGTGACAGATTCGATGTGCGCAGAAACACTTTCGACGAAGCGTCGCTAGGTGCCCCGATGAAACGAACGCTGGAACCTTTCGATAGAACGAACTGTCGACAAAACGTCGCAACGTCGACGAACTGATCTGTCAATAAAATGTCGCTCGGCGAACTTATTGCCACCGAATGACAACGGTTCCTAGGCAACGCCAGAGGTACACAAGTCGTCGACATGGTAATAGACCGATATCACAAAGCGTTCCAGCAGGCGTGACGCCACCATAACTGTAGTTGACAGGAAGCAGATGTGAATGAGACAACTCGCGTCCTGGTGATGGTGAAAATAATCCCTGGAGAAGGGGAACAAGAGGGACAAAGGACAAACATAAATCTCCAAACACAGCTAGGTGACTGGTGCGCGACCGAAAAAATCCGCCTGGTCCGGTCGCTCACCAGTCACCTAGCTGTGTTTGGAGATTTATGTTTGTCCTTTGTCCCTCTTGTTCCCCTTCTCCAGGGATTATTTTCACCATTATTGTCCAGCTCGCTTGCACCTTTGTATTTAATTGCATTATAATCAACTCGCGTCCTCTCGTGCTCTGCTCGCGCTGACCCACAGCGGGCTTGTCGCGCTTGCAAAAAGCCTACAGTTCCCACGAGTCATGCCGGCAGTGGGGGCGCAACAAAAATGGCAGCTGACATCAGCTGACAAACTAATTGTAGGCACATAAAGATTTGTAAAGTTGAAAGGTGTTTTATTTTATTTATTTTTCTTCTAAATCGTCTACAGGGTTTTACGTAAGGGGCGTGAGAACATCAAAATAGATGCTAACAATAACTAAAAGAATACAATAAAACAGTTGTTAGGTTGTTCTATTTCAAACATGGCGATCAGAGCATTTCAAAATTGGCTGTCACGTCGAGGGAAATATGACTGGCAGCTCGACATTATGCACCTGTTTTGGGTGGTGAGTGATAAAAGAGGTGATGTAGCGCGATCTGCAAAAATATTCATTCGGACTTTGCAGCGATCTGCAAGAATATTCATTCGAACTTTATTAGAACTAATTTGCAACGAAGACACCGGAATATAAGTTTTCGATAGGAATCTTGACTACGTCCGATACCCCTGCACAAGCAGAACACAACACAATAGTAAAATAAAACCTGAACAATACCACCTAAACAAAATAGGTGCATACTGTTCATTCAGTAAAACAATGAATATCAATGAGGTCGAAGACCCGAAGTTGTTCAGAAATCTATTGAAAAGTTATGAACAAGGTACTGAAGTGGGGAAAATGGGGAACGATTCGAAATTCCTTGCGCGGGATATACTGATTATAGATTCGCGTTTCGTCAAGTTTGAAAGATGAGACAAAAAGCAATACGCCCCACTCTTGAAAACAAATACTATCATAATAAGCGATAGTCATGGACATTGGCAACGACTAAAAATAATGGTTCGGCATGAGTCTCGCATTCCTATTGAGTAAATTCAATAGAATTGATTTTGAGTTTCTAATGATCAAACTCAATTGCATTCCTAATAAGTAAAGTCAATAGAATCGATATTGAGTTTCTTATGATCAGCCTCAATTGCATTCCTAGTGAGTAAATTCAATACAATCAAAATTGAGTTTCTAATGGTCAAACTCATTAGACATTGAGTTTATATCGAGTTTCAATTGACTCTATAGGAACACAATAGACAGTCAATTGAAACTCATTGATCATTTTTGTAAGGGTCGTAGGGAACATCTGCGATGAAACGCAGTCTTCTCCTTAAGAATCCTCAGTTTGTTTATATTAGTTTTATTAGTGGTGCACCAAACCAAATGGCAAGAGGTAATTTGTGAGCCAACCAAAGCGTGAGAGATTTGCAGCTTAAGTAGGCAAAAGAGAATGGCAATGAACGCTTATGAAAACTATTTCCGTCAGTTTATAAACTAAGTATTGTCGACGATTATCACATTGTATATGTTCCAAAGAAAATGACACCGGGCGTTTTGTGTTGGTTTACTTTTTCGATCTGGCTGCTGCCATTGTTTATAGCACAATTTTAAGCAATGTGCTGATTTATGGATCTAAATACAGTAGCCTTTGACTTGGCAAACTTTATTTTAATCCTACTGTTTCTGTTCATAAAATAAATTTCGTCAAGACGGCTTTTTATTTAGCTATAAGCTATTCATATTCGTCGCAGGCAAAAATACTTGCGTCGTCGGCATACAGGATAACACGTGATTGTTGGCAAATATTAACTGTATCATAAATATAAACACTGAATACAAGTAAACTGCCCTGACTCAAACCAGACTTCAGAATTCGAAAAGAAGAAACACAATCATTCACTGCGTTAATGTGTTTTAGTCTGAATATACGGCGAATATAGTTGTGGAGGATAAAAGGAATGGCTCAGTTTTGAATGTCTTCTAGCTTATCTATGAGCTATGATTGATGTGGATTTCGGATGAGTGATACTTATCACTCATATGGAAGCCATACTTTGGGTAAATCGGCTCGCTGTAAACAATATATTTAAGGTGACATTGACCATTGTAACCGGTGGCGATCGCCGATTTTTTATGCCTCTTTCGCATGATCCAATTCTGCATGCGATTTTCAGTTTCGACGTGCGGTACCCCAGCTTCCGTCTATGCCGCCTTTGCTGCCTGATGCCGCTGCATCCATTCAGCGGCCTGCACGCGAAATGAATCACCTTTCGCAACATTATTCACGGAAAGTTTTCGAGTATGTCGGGCCTTGTCAATTCCAACACAAAATCGGTGTAGCACCGACGCAGACAACATCTGATACCAATGGTTTTGTGCGCCTCTTGCCCACACCCCATCTTGCATGCGCGGCGCTGTTATGGGCGCGCCGGTTTGTTTGCAAACGTGAGTTGGTGTATCAGACCACAAGAAAAGAATGTGGTGTGTTTGTGTGTTGGTTTGTTTGTGTGAAATAAATTGAGAAAAAAAATGAGACAGAAATTAGATTAGAAAAGGTGGTTCAAATACACAAATATAAGAATTGTCTGAGAAGGGAAAAAAGAGACGAGAGTAAAATATAGAGAATGAACAAAAGAAAAAGGGAAAAAGTAAAAACAAAAGGAACTCACACAAAGAAATGACGAAAAAGACAAAAGAAAAATAATAATAAAAAATAAAATAAAGAGGAGTAGAGGTGGAATTAGCTCGAAAGAGAAAGAGAAATTATATTTAAAAATATAGAAATACGAAATAAAAAAGAGACGGATAAAACTGAAATAAAAAAACCCAAATAAATCACCTTAAAATCATCATGAGATGCGATTGATTGACTGATTGACTGAAAGTGCCTTTATTTTTCAAGCTTTTCTCTCGCGGATATAGCATATCCGTGAGAAAGAAAAAAACAATTAAATGCTCCATTCGCGGCTCGAGCTGAGAGCGTGCAGGCTGGCCGGATGTGGAATGGGTCTTAGAGGGACGCGTGTCATCCTGCGCAGAAGAGACCACGGTGGGCGGCTTCCGAATCCGTGCCGGCAGCCGGGTGCTGGCCAACCTGTGGCGCGCCCACAGGGACCCCGACTTCTGGAGCGAGCCCGAGCGCTTCGACCCGACGCGCTTCCTCGGAGACGACGGCAGGCCCGACAAGAAGGACGCCTTCATGCCCTTTTCGCTCGGTAAGCGTCCTCCCAGTGGCCGTGGCTGGGTCCGCCTGGGCAGTTTGCATGAGTGCCTGGAACGCGCCTTTGACTCGTGTGTTTAGCCTCCTACCTCGCCCGTACATCAGAAGTGGTCCCCAAGTGGCAGCAAGTGAAGTCACAAAAGCCGACCCGCCATGTTGCGTGATGTCGCGATACCTGGTCGCTCGCGCTAGATGTCCTGGAGGAAAGTTGGAGCGAGAGTCCTTGTCGTCGCGGCGACCCAACCTCTGGCTGATGAAACTACCTTCAACTGTGAAGCAGGAGAGCAGCCTGCAGCAGAACAAGCGTCCGCCGCAGGGACACCACAGAAAAGCACATGTCAAATCACACACGACAAAACAGAACGGTCAAAGCAGCACGCGTCAAAAAAGCATGGCGTCAAAATAGCGCAGCGACGAAGCAGCGTGCGTCAAAATAGCACGCGACAAAACATCACAGCTTCAGAACAGCACACCGTTTATAGACCAAAAGTCAAAATAGCGCAGCGTGAAAATAGTACAGCGTGAAAACGCAAGTTTTCTTCGGCATTCTGCAGGCTTGTGGCAACCGAGCGTGCACATTTTTAACTGCTCAACTTGCCATCGCTCTCTAGCTGTAAACAACTCCGTGAATATATTAAGGGAAGGTGTGATACGGTACAATCCTAATTTTGGTCGGTTCTGCTCCAAGTGAACTATATTAGGTATGCCATTATTATTTCATAAAAATACTACTCTGTGATTTTCCAAACATAACAAAAGGCAACAATGAAGTGTTAAAGGATACTGTTTGTATAATGCACACGCTCTTTACATCTTGAATTTACGTAGCGAGGAAAGGCGGCAGTCCAACAGAGTGCCAGTGAGGGTTTCTTCGTCATACTTCGAGACTACATTTACAAGAACACTACAAAAAATGAAAACGTACTCGTCAAACTAGTTGACTTGAAGAATTGAGTTCTGTTAGAATAACAAATGTAATTGGCAGCATATTCTGCTACTTCGGAACAATCGCCAGTCAAATGCGCGCCACAAGAGCAATTGGTGTAAAACCGATAATGTTAGTAAATGGAAGTGTGGTTGAAGCATGACCGTCAGGCCCAGCTAACAAAAAATTAGAATTGAAAAATAAAAAAAAAGTTTGACAGCATTAGGCTACCATTTACAACCATCGTTTATAAGGCAAATAGTATTGTAATTTGTAATCGCAGTATTTTGTAGGGCTTGGCGATTGATCGATTAACCTTCCAATTAATCGATTAATGTTTTAATAATTATTAAAATTGAACTAGACAATCAGTAAACTAAAAAGCGAAACAAAAATAAAATATCAACTTTTCTTTTACATTTTTCTATCGCCATGCAGTCCATCGATAAAATGCAAAAACTATCCTGTAGGCAGGAAACTCGCAAATCACAGGACCGTTAATCACGGTTGAGGCAAGGCTGGTTCCAGCACGAAGGCCGTGTCCAACTTACGACTATCGGTTATCCTGCAGCGTTGGAGGGCGGCTTTCAGAGCAGAGCTCAAGGACAGTAGATTGCCGACAAGAGGAGGTTCCCCAAGAGGGACCCCGCAGCTTCACTTTCACTAATATACCTGCTCAGCCAGTCACTGGCATACCTGTTGGCATTCTATGGGCCAACCACGCGTCGTACCTCTCAATGCAACGGACCACGGTGTCGACTGGCCAACGGAAAAAAACCTGGCTCTCTATCATTCCACAGCCTGCGTGACAAACGGCCAACTGCAGTGCCCATCGCAGGGCCTTCTCGGTTCTCAAGTGTGTTGGTCGTGAAAACAATTGTCTCTCCTGGTTCAAGCTGTCTCGAGCGCCTGTCTAGTGCAGCAAAGATGATTGTGAGGAAGCAAGAACTCGTTCATGTCACAGAATAACAAAAAAATCCTTCTGCTCTGCCCTCGCCGGCGGATTAATAGTCTGTATCTTTCAACTGTATATTCAACTGCACATCTGTTTATTCCCAACTAAATAGGCTTCGGCGTTTCTTAAAAGAAATGTGCTTGAACTTGTTTGGTGCCTTTATATGCCTCGAAATTGCCTTGATTCATTAAACAATTAATTGATTAAAGGGTGTAGATTAATCGATTGATTAATCGATATAATGGTGTCGATTAATCGGGTCAAAATTTTGAATCGATGTTCTGCCCTAGAATTTTGTTGTCATCCTTCCATTCTCCAGAGATGCCTTGCATTTTTAACGCCACACGCTATGTTGTCAATATGCTGTCTTGGCGCTGTGGGGCATTCGCTGTTTTGTCGTTGTGTTCTTTCGATGCTGTGCAGTTTTCGCAGGGGCTCTTTTGTCGATCTGCCGTTTTGACTTTGTGCTTTTTTGTCGCGAGCTATTCTGACAAGTCCTGTTTTGTCGCTGTGCTATTTTCGGACGCCGTGCTGTTTCGTGGTCTGCTGCTATGTCGTGTGCTGTTTCGTCTGCCGTATCTACCACCGCTCCAGCGACACCGCCAGGACGTCTATGACGTCATCAGGCGGAAATCGAGGTACCATTCATAAGGACTCACAAAACGGAGACGCGTTCCAGGCACCATAGGTGGAGGTACTCCGAACGGCCCCACCTTTCCATGAAGCAACCTCGGGAAAAAGCAATACATTAAAGTGCTTTTTCTTAAACCACCTGAAACTGGGTGGAGAACAAAAAATTTCAAAGTGGAAGAGAAAGGCACAGAATGAGGAAACGTCTCAAATTCGGTTGACTCGTTTATTCAGTAGCATCTTCATACACTCTCAGAAAAAAAAAAGGTGTATTATTACACCCCTTGTCCCATATAATACACCCCAAAACTTTAATTTGACGTACAACGCCCCATAATCGAACAGGTGGCCCCAAAGTTTACGAAGTGCTTGATAGCCGTGTGGTACAACTTATTAAGATAGCTGATGTACGTAATATTGACTACAAAAAAGACTATCGGAGTTTTCTTGGCCGTACCGAAAAAGCTCCGTGTTTTCTTTGTTTGGTTTTTGATACGCACTTTAGCAATTTAATAAGTTATATCGCACCGTTATCAAGCCCCTCGTAAAATTTGGGGCCGTCTGTTCGACTATAGGGCGCTGTACGGTTCAAATGAAGTTTTGGGGTGTATTATACGGGACAAAGGGGTGCAAGGTGATACCTTTTTTTTTTTAGAGTGTACATACAACATTCTCGAGGTCGCCAACCACCCACCAGACATACAAAAACATCCACAGGTTCGGAACACAAACAGACACAAAATACCTGGCATACAACCTGTGATATGCATGTAAGGAGGTGTAGCACGTGATTCCAAGGGGCTTTCTATTTCGTCAGGAGAACAGCACGAAGTTTGGCCAATTATCTGCGTATGCTTTCGTGGTCGAAAGCGGGCACGTCACTGGAATTGGACAGTGAACTTCTAAACGAATGTGTCGCGTGGTGGGCATCATTTGTAAACTCGCCAGAGGGTTAAACTGCTTACTAAAATGAAACCAGCATTTGACCATGTCCGGATGTCCGGCCGTCAAGACATTCGGTGAGCCAACGCTCGAGCCCGTACCGAGGTTGATAGCGCCCGTGAAGATGACAGCACTACACTGTAACAGCACGCTGTCTGCCCTAAGGCTGTTTCACGTCACGTGCCTCCGGCTCTAAATCTCACCGTATGCCAATGTGGTTTCGCTTTTTTTGAGCGGAGGCAACGTTTTGCAGATCGCTCGAGCTATTTTGCGTAGTGATCAACTGCCCCTTAAAAAGGAAGTCGAAGCACCTACTGCCATTCATGCGGAGTTAAGACGACGCTCGAAAAGTGGACCTGCCAAAATCAACCCGTAAAGATGATGCCGGAACGAAATAAAAGGAGTGAGTTTATCAGACCGATTTCTGTCGACTGAGTTCTGTCGTCGATGAGTCGTGACTCGTCGTGCGTGTGCGTTTCACCAACACCAAAAATGAAGCACACAACTAATTGCCTCCACGCAAACAAGAAGGGAAAGAGGCAAATGCTGTTTTTCAACCTGGTGGAACGCTCTTAATAAAATCAGACAATAAGAAATATGCTAAGCCGGATATGATACCGATTTTTTTTTTTTTTTTTTTAAACGATACGCAGAATGGTTGACAATATATTTATATGTCCTCTTTAGTATTTTTCTCGAGAACGCAGTTTTACCAGATGATTGGAGAACAGCAAAAAGAGGTCCGTACATCAGCACAGTGATTGAAATACAGCGTCAAATTTCAGGCCTATTTCTTTAACTAGTACAACATGTAAATTGTTAGAGCACATTATCTTGACACATATTTTATATCACCTAGACAAACATAGACTAATTCATAGAAATCAGCACGGGTTTAGAAAGTCACATTCGACCACAACCTAGCTCATTAAATTTACGCGTGACTTAGCTGAAACAATTAATAAAAGAGAACATGGTGACGTAATGTACTTAGACCTTTCTAAGGCGTTTGACATAGTATCCTATTCAAAATTGCTGACAAACCTCTCTAACATATTTAAAAGCTCAGAAATTTTAGATATGATAACCGCTTATTTAAAGCACAGAAGCCAATACATTCACTACAATAAAATTGACTCTTACAAGTTACTTCGGGAGTAACGCAGGACTCCGTGCTTGGGCCACTTTTGTTTTTGATTTTCATTAACGACTTATCATCTAACATAAATGTCCCAGAGAATGTTCACAGATGACTGTATTTTAACAAGATAAGGAACCACAACGACAACCTTAAACTACAGGAGACTTTAAGGGCAATACTGAGTTGGTCTAAAACGTGGCAAATTAAGCTAAATTATGGCAAGAGTGAGACAGCCGTCGTGACAGTCTCCTGTAAAAAAGAGCGGATCTAATTTAATTATCTACTTGAAGGGCAACCCCTCAGACAAGTCGAGGAATACAAATATTTAGTACTTGTTTTTATCAGTAAATTAAACTGTAACCTGCACTTGGAAGCAACTGTTAATAAAGCGAGGGGCACTTTGTTCGTGTTCAGAAGCAAATTAAAATTTGCTGATTCAGATAAGAAGCTTATTGCCTACGAATGGTTTGTTAGACCTGTGTTATAATACATCAGCTTAGTGTGGCATCCTCTCAACCAAAAAAAAAAAGTCAGTATAAACTGGATTATGGAACAGAAAATCGAACTGGATTTCTTGCTGGAAACCCGACATCCAGTTTGCAGACAAATGTCTGCAAACTGGATTTCAGGTTTCCAGCAAACCATTTAGTTAGATTTTCTGTTCCATACCATAATCCAGTTTATGCTGTTTGTTTGTTTTTTCGGTAGGGTATACTTTTGAATACATCTTACTTTTCTTTAGCCATTAGAGTTGCTTGCTTTTCATTTAAATTTCAACGGCTGGTTAATCATTTAAGCCCTTACCTCCTCTAAAACATCAGCTTTGTTTCAGTACTTAGGTAAATTATTAAGAGAAAAAGAAAACACGCACACGTTAATGGCCATGCACTCTAGAATAAAAAAATCTGTTTTGTCTTAACGCTCGCCCGAAATTGGCCACCGAACCAACACGCCGCTCCCGTAGGAAAGATCATCTTCCACTGCTGGAATCGCGATCGCACCGGCTCCTCGCGGATTGCTTGGCATGTTGCGTATTCCGCGGCGCGGCCATCGCCTCAAACTGACGGAAGGGGGGGATCGGTGGCCGAGTGGGCTACAGTAGCGAAATGTGCGTCGATGCACGAGGCACGTGCAACGTGCAGCCCTTGGGAAGATCATGGCGGCACAGCGCAGCACTGAGCTAGATTTCAGACGCCATGTTCTTCCCAGAAGTGGCGCGTGTGCGTGTCTCGAGCATTTTTACAGCAATGGATGGCGTCACTTTAGCCAGGATAGAGGGACTTTAGAGCGGGCTAGCGTACACCAGCTCGGAGAACGTAGAGTGAAAGCTCGCGCTGCAGAACCCAGCATCCTGGGTTCAATCCTCACCCCTGCCCGTTTCGATATGGATGAGTATAGAGGAGGCTATCGGATGAGCGTCGTATACCGGCGTGCGGTCGAGTGTCGCTACTGCGTGATGCACGTTAAAGACCACAGGCGAGCGGTTGTACTGCACTGGCTAAATTTCTCATCTTCGGCTGGGAGCCAAGTCGCTTATTGAGGCAGACTAAGTTCTAGGCTGTAAAAACGTACACACAACCCCCCTCAAAATGACGACTGGGTATTGCTGTTATTCGACGCTAGAAGTTTGGGTTTCGCCGCCTGATGGAATGTTTTCACAACCCAGAGTGAGGATACTTCACCTTCCTCTGCCGGTGCAAGCACGTGCAATGACAAGCTTCTATCCGCTACGGAAATTAAAACATAACCGCCTGGGGAACACGTGCACCACTACTCATAAAGAGGAAAACAAAAGCGCCCCTATACTCCGTTTCACCTTATGTTGTACCGCAGCGAAGGCTAGAAGCGCGAGCTCATAGCGTTGGCAGCTGGCCTTGGTGCACGAGAGCTTGTGCCGCCGAGATGTGCCCTAGAGCAAGGAGCTCGCGCTTGTAGCCTTTCCGGCGGTACGACACACTGTGAAACAGAGTATAGCGAGCTTCTGGAATGCAACAAGCACGAGAGCACGAGATCACGTGTTGAAACATTCCTCGGCAGAACGAGCAATCGCGCTAGAAAGGCACGCCTGAAAGCCAGGAGTGCGGGCTAGCTCGCACTTGTAGCTATGGCTGCAGTTTATTGTCCGGTGATATCTGGAAGTTACTAAGTTTTTGCGTTGGTCACGTAGAGTGGGCCTAAATATAGTTAGATGTAATATTTATTTCATTAAAACTCGCCGCAATAGGGAGTATTCACTGGCCGCCATATCCGTGTGCGCTGCTGCTGAGCGCGTGCTAACGGCGAGCTTCCGCAGTCCTTTTGGAGCGTGCATTTAGCACCATCAAGGTTGCCGGTCTTAACAGGTTATTAAAGGGCAACTCCACTGCATTTTTACAATTTTTGGGTTATGATCTATTTAGTCGAAGTCGGCGACCCTGAATCACGAGATATAATTTGTTTTTCGGTAGTGTGTATAGTTTTGTAGATATCGCGAATACAAGTATCGTTACGGCGGCACGGCGAAACCGAAACTACCGGCTGAAGCAGCCTGGCAACATTGATACGTGTGGCGCGTCGTCGGCATTACCTAGTTTTGGTCCCGCGCTCCCGTGCCGATGCACCGACAATGTCGGCTCAGTCGCACGTGGAGTTTCAAAACAGAAGGTAAGTTGCACATTTTCTTTTTTACTGCTTCACTTTGTTAATATACACCAAATGTAGTAAGTGTTAGTGTGCATTTATAAATTTGACGGCCAAAAAGCGAATCCGACTGCTCTAAATATGACGCGGTCAGTGCCGGCGCAGCGTGACTGTATATGTTTCTTGCTCGCGGACCGAGAGAAAAAGGAATAATGGGAGATATAGGGACATATGTATCCACAAGCGGTATAAGTTGCTAAGGTAAGGTGCCTTTATGTGCACGCTACTTAGATCAGCCGCGACCTGCTGCGTCCGGGCCGATCGTGCTGGAGCAGCCGGCGCACGGTACGCGAACACTGACGGCACCGCATCGTTCTTCAAAGACGCGTGTTTCGTGGAGAAACACGCAGCAGTCAGCAGCCGCAGATCCCGTGTATAGGTGTCTGACGCAAAGTGCTGGGAGCAGAGCTTCGCGTTGGAACTCGGAGTCAACGGTCTTCCGAAGTCTATCCGGCGAACGGCACCGACCCACACCTTGTGCCTCTTCCGGTCTCTTGGGAACTTGTGGAACCGCAGCTCCGGGTTGAGCACCGGATTGTTGGTGTAACGCACAGCACTACAAGTCGTGCTCGACATTGCCCAACGCGAGTCCGGCGAGTCTTTCCGGCTCCACGACACGCGCGTGAGCGAGCAGCACCGCTTTGTTCTCTTCCGCGCTGTCGCGAGAGCAATGCTGGAGTTAAATGAACAGCCTGGACGCTAATAAAAATAGGAGAACACAGGATAACGCGGTAAGCACCTCTTGCCGTCAGCAGAATCGCAGAATGCCACGGGAAACGAAGCGTTCGCGGCGTCCGTACGAGAGCGGAGGACTAAACCTACGTCATTGCCCAGTGTTGCTTCACTAGCTTACCCGGTGCCAGAGTTGCTCACCCGCTTTCGGGCAGCTAACCGAAACGGGAGAACATTTTAATATTGGTTTTAATCGGTAATGCGGCGTCGGTTTGACGTGATATTTTGGGTATGACCGTATTTTGCCGCCCTAAAGCGATATCAGTCATTTCGATAGGGTCGACTTTCTGTGTGGAGTTGCCCTTTATTGTGAGCTCGTTCTGAGCATGTGCTCTAAACAGCACCCACAAATATGGCGCCCAGTGAATACTCCTTATATATTTGTTAAATCAAGTATGACCATCAATACGAAACTGCACGCCAAATTTCGCAAGCATGCATGGCTGGTTGTTCGGTGACGTCACACCAGGCATGGTAGCGTCAGAGTCGCGGGCGTTGGTTTATTCCCGGCTTTGATCAACATGGTTGATGGTGTGCACAAAGATCATCGTCGAAGAACTTAGCTTCCCTCAATTTCGTAAATCTTGTCGTTCTCAGAATGAAGTTGTTTTACGTTGTTTTACCGAGACAGCAGTCACGAGCTGTCGTAGCTCTCTTGCTCTTCTTGCGTGACGTTACGCAAGAGCTTCCGCTGTTGCCAACGAAAACGCCCCTTGCTTTGAAGGTGCAATCTGAGCAATTTGAGTTTTGTTTAAAATTGAGTTACTTGTGCAGCTGAGGATTATAAGTTCGAATATTGTGCGGACTCATTCCTAAAAGCAATGACAATATAATTTAGCCAAGGAAGGGACAGACGCAAATACAGTCAGTTGCTGACGCAGCAACAGCAGTGACAGCCGCCTGAGTCTCGCACTCTCAAGCTCGGGCTTGAGTGAGCGCGCTGTGCTCTTTTCACTCGCGGTTTTCCCATATATCTTTATTTCACTGCTTTATTTTAAAGCCCCTTAATAAAGAAGTTTCTTTACAATTACCGCCAGCCATTTTTGCGAAAACGTGCGAGACACGTGCTATGAACGGGTGCTCAGCCGCCATTTGCTTCCAAGGGCTGCTCGAGGCACGGGCCTCGTGCACTGGTGCATTTCACGCTACTCGCAAAACTACCGCAAACACATCGATGTGCTGGCACGCCACGTGTCGTGAAGATCTGTGACTAAACCAAAGAAAGTGAAGACGCAAGCTGGCCATGATGTGTACATATAGCGGGGAATACGTTGCAGGCAAGCGGGGCTGTCTGGGAGAGTCGCTGGCCAGGACGGAGGCCTTCGTCTTTCTGACGGAGCTGCTGAAGAAGTTCTCGTTGGCCGTCACGGAGCCCTTCCAAGACCAGGAGCTAGGCTGGAAACCCCCGCAGGGCATCCTGCGCTTCGCCGAGCCCTTCGAGCTTATCGCCACGCCCCGGACTCCCTCGACCGCACTCTGAAGCAGCGCTCACCGCCTGCACCAGTTACGTCGCTGTAGCATGCCCATTGCATCGGGCCATTCGGCTGCCCTTCTCTGGGATCCCCTCGAATACGCCGGAAAGCGTGTCCCTTTGACGTCGCTTGGACGCTAAATAAATGCCATCTGTCTCATTTTTTTTTTCCAGCATGAGAGAGATAGAGAGGACAAGCGTATATTGAAAATCAAACAACCAGGTCAGCCAGCGCTTTGAGCCGGCTTGCTACGCTGTAAAATAATATGAAAACAAAAAGGGGTAGTATAGAAAAAATAGCAAAAAAATATAAAGAAAGGAGATAGAAAGAGATAAACAAAATAAAACCGTATTAAAGGTTCAATTTTATCTAGGGGTATGCTAATAGTGAAATTTCAACTCCTATCGAATTCGAATCGAATAGTGTCGAATAGTCGAACATTGGTAATCACGTTGTATTCACTGTGATTATGGTAATAGAGTTTTAGTAGACCCTACGCTGCTGATCCCGGGCCTAGCGGGAGCGGGCTCAATACGTATGCTTCGAAGTGTCGGCACGAGCTCCCGCTAGGAGCGCCAAGCTCTATACATATATGCTCTACTAAAAGTCCCTAATATCCGTAAAAAAATAATTACGTGGCGTTTATTTATTTATTTTTTTTAATTTCTACAAGACCTATTTTGGTGTTCATAATGAGTGCACCTGAAAAACCGCGGATGTTCCGTTAATTAGAGTCACACGCGACCGTGGGTCACCCAAACATGCGCCCTGGCGTCCAGCCTGCGCTATAAGAGGGAGTTTTAGTAGACCGTGTTTCCCCCGCCGCTAACCCTCCGCTACGAAGAAACCGCCACTGCGCCTGCGTGCCGATGGCCTTGGATGTAGAGTTCCGAGAAGCGGAGGGGGAAACACGGTTTGCTAAAACTCGCTAATGTGTTAAGTGTCTTTCACAGTTTCACAATAAAATGGTGCATTCATGTGAGTTTTTCAGTGTCTCCTGAGTATGATTATTACTGCATGACAGTCGCGTTTCTTTCTGATGTTGAATTCTGTGGCGCCTTTTTGTCAAGTCCAGGGCTTACCACATGTGTGAACGTGTGGTGTGAGAGTCCACGGGGGTTATGAGGCCGCAGTCACAGCCGTAACAACATTAATTAAAATGGAGCCCGCATACAGCTTTACATCTCAAGACACGTTAAAACACACAACACCGCTCTTCAGTTTTATTTAGAACAGGGAGGTACGCCTCGACACAGACGCTGGAACACAAAATATAAACCGTGTCTGTGCGATCGCTTACTAAATGCTTTTTCTAATAATCAAGGTTTTAATTGTATTATTTATGGTAGAGTACAATAGGACATTTTAAACGGATACTACAACAAAATATCGGCGCTTATTTCTTGGTCTATTCGTGTTCATTGGAGCATTATCACATCAGACACACCAATCTCTTGTTGAAAAAGACACGAAAATAAATTTTAAAACGAATTAAACGATTAGCAAAGAGCACCTGGTGGGTGTCGCTAACGCCCCGTTTGTAATGCCCGTCTAGGAACCTTGATAGGTAGTGTCGGTAACTGTCTCGCCTCCGACCATGACGATATAAGAGCTGAAGGAGGAAGTCCTCTCTCACCGAGGCACTCTTTCGTGTGTCCCAGAAGTCGCTATTGTCCCTCTACAAGAATATAGAAGATTAACCCCTTAAGTGCCTTGGACGAGCCGAGCTCGTCGGCCATTTTTGGGCTAAAAATGCCATGGACGAGCTCAGCTTGTCCAGTGGTTTTTTCGGTAACCCTCAATTTCACGGACGAGCAAGGCTCGTCCATGTAGTTCTGCGGCGCTGATCATAGATAGCAGCACTCGTATTAGTTGGCAAATATTTTTTTCACCTCCGCTGATTTTTTCGTAATAAACTTTTCAGATTATATGTGTAATACCAGAGCAATAAAAATTCAAGATAAAATAAAATGGCACTTTTAGCGCACTTTTGTGAAAAAAGAATGTGGCACTTCAGGGGTTAAACCGTCACTCCAAATTCGTACATAGCTTGGGGTTACTTATGGTGGCCCGATTGCTGGTGCACTTCGGCTGCTTTCAGCGGATACGAGCCATCGGGGCCTATCCAAGGCCATGTGAATGTCACGTGACCTTGAAGAGTGGGCACAGCGACGCGCGGAAAGCGTATCACGGGCTACGTCCACAGAGAGGGATTGGCTGGGATAGCTCGCAGCGTCCGCTGCGTTCGGACGTAAGGTCCCGAGACAAACTACGTCACGATTGCGGCGGATGTGACGTGCTCTCCGCTGGCTGCTCTCCGAGCGTTTGCCAGAGTGGGCCGTTTATAACGAAAAACACAGCCATCAGGTTCAAAATACAAACGTGCGATTGACATTTAGGGATATGGTTGATCATATTCATCCTATATGTGAACACGACGGGTATATTTCAAATTTCGTTGAAATATTCCTTTAATAGCTTTTCTTGATTTTATGATTTTGTAGGTTTTATCTCTAGCTTCTTACTTATATTTGTTACATAATACCTGTGAATATTATATTCCAAGCAGCGTAGAATGTCAGAAGAAATCTATTGGCAATGATGGCATGCGTTCATTCCAAACCTGAACGAACCCCCCACATCGCTCGTTTCCTCGAAAGCTTTTCGAGATTAGCACTAATCCGCTGCTGCCCTTGGCACAGCATCATTAGACAGTTTTAGTGGATCGTACGCTAAAGCCTTGCGTACGCAATAAAATTGCGGGTCGGGAGTGCGCGTGCGCAGAACGGAATAGAAGAGCTAGCGTATTGCGTACGCACGCAACGCTGGGGGTTTTGCGTGGCGGGCTAGCGGGCTCTGCGGGACGTTCTCGAGAGATCTCGGACCCAACGAGAGCGCCAGTTTCAAGATGGCGGTTACCTCGACTGGCGTAGCAAAGGCGACGTGGTGTTTTCAAAGATCTGTGTTACGTGAAATTGCGTGGTGTTCAGCTCGGCAATTCTTTCCGGGACCTACGGCGGTCGAATCAAATCGCCGTGCAGCTGAAGAAGTGCACAGTGAAAATGTTCGCCGCTTGGAATGTACGTCAACGCTGCGATCTGCTCAACGCTAAGCCTATTCGCACAGTTCATCGCCGACGGACGAGCGACTCTACACTGTTAGCAAGTCCCGTGTATTTGGCGAATATTTGGGGTGAAAAACACGCTATTTACACAAATTACCATAAATTTACACGATGAGTAACGGATAATTCGTTCAGAAATCATGCGAGGATGTAAAAAACGTGTTTTGGTTCGGTCATACACGCATAACCGTGTAGCCGACCTCGATAACACGCATCGCCCCCGGCGACGACCGCGGCATTGCCGGCTATCGAAGCACCGGAATGCTTGGGGACACACTTGGAAAGGACCGTCGAGACAAATGCCGCGGAAAGAAACATGTCTCGGAGACAGATATGCACCAAAAGCAATTGCGCCATGTCGCAGGACGTTGGCGAAACCCGCGCTTACGTGCTCGTCGCCATCTTCTGGTCGATGGCAATGCGGCTTCCCTCATGTCGCCCATGTTTGTATTTAGTTTAGGGGTCCTGATAACAGTTTCTTAGACACCACACATAAAGTTATGGGTCTAATTATTCGTTCCAAACAGTTAAAATGGATATAAAAAGCGCGTCCTCGATGTGAACACGTGACATTGCAGTTGGTTTCGTTTTTGCTTCAACCTTCAACTGCAAGCGATCTGGCCACGGCGCAAGCGCAACGCCGATGTACGCTGGAAGCAAGCGCCGGTTGGCTTCTGGGTGATCTGGCAAGTACGCATGGCGCCGCTACTGTTTTGGTTTGACGGGACGCGAGAAGCTTCGCATAGAGCTTCGGAGTTTGCGAGCACATAGTGAAGACGTGACCGGAGAAGTGCCCCTGTGATGTTCCTGGAAGACGGAAAGTAGCATTCGTAATCGTCGTGTGTGCTTTGAAAGCGAAGGGAGTCACAGGGTCCACGAGTTCGCAACCACAAGCCAAGGTTCACGACAGCGCGGCGTTGACTTCGGCGATCTCGTTCTGTTTGGTGCAACCCGGCGATGCGAAAAAGAGCTGAAACATTCGTCGTGTGTGGTGCGGTGCTTTGTATTCCGGGTCTGTTTGAACCACGCTTTTAACACGGAGCGCAAATTGTTTGTTGCGTGGTGGGGGTTCAACGGGTACAGTCCCGTCGTCGTCAGCTGATCCGGTCCAGCTGGTCCGGGAGGACGCAGCGAGCGTTTTTAAAAGTAAATCTTCCTTCGTTCCGTTTCAAACTGTGGAAGTATCCCGACACATACCGTGAGTAAGAAGCAGCGGGCGTTTTCAACAAAATTACGTTGTTTTAATTGAATAATGGACTCCGGATTGTTGTCTTAAATCTGCTGTTTTTTATGCTTCGTGTTGGATTCCGTTTGCATAGCGACGCACACCGCTCGAGTAGATGATTCGGTCCTGCAACGAGTTTGTTGCGCCGATCATGCGGCGTGAATAAATTAGGGCAAGGTTTCCTACCTGCCCACAGATGCATGTACTGAGACCATTTTTTATGTTGTGAACGTAGTGCTCTTCTTTATTTTGGAAGACGCGTTGGTGCTTTTATTATGGTACAATCACTTGAGAGTTGAGAAATTGGAGAGCGAGCAAGCTTTCTCAACTTTGTCTCTTTCTCTCTGGCACTGCCCTGTTTCAGTTTCAGTAGGCATATCTACTAGCAGGTACAAATTGCCCTAAAGCAGGTAAAAAACGGGAAGCTTAGGACGGTGCGGACTCCGTGTTTCGCGCTTTTCGCAAGGTGACAGGGTAAATGCTTTTGTGAGATATGCGGAATATGCAAGCGATTTTGTTATGCCCGTCGTTTGCGTCTCTCCAGCAAAACGAATAAGATGATCTACTACAAAGGCGCAATCACAAGCCAAGATTTAAGATAGCAGTCGTTTGCTTCGGTGATCCGTGTAGCTGTATTTTACCCTGCTCTCTGCAACACCGTGTCATGACGAAGAGCTGGAACGGTCACGGTTTGTGTTGGCCTCCAGGTTGACAGAAACCCGCGTCGCCCGCATCGGCACCGAGTGCGCTTGGGCTGTTGATGCTCAAGCCTTTCATCCGCGGCTTGTCGCCA